GCACTTAAAGAAGCTAAGCGAAATGGGATCGCGCACCCTAAGCTGGCAATTTTAGTTGACAGAGTATATCAGACATGTACAGACTGTGATCTCAACCAGATTAAGCGCTATGGGTTCGCACCGCTTAAGAGTGTGACTGAAGATGTTCCATGGCGCAGGATCATCATTGATCTGGTTGACCTGCCTACGTCCGAGCACACAGGCGACCGTTACGTATGCCACTTCTTTGATGTAGTGTCACGATATAACTTGCTCTATCATTTAAGGACAAGAGTACGCAGACCGTGGCAGAATTATGTTGCCAAGTCTTTGCTGACCTAGGGTAGCCGGTTATAATGTGTACTGATAACGGTAGCGAGTTCTGCGATGACATAATGGAATCGTTAGTACTCGTATCAGGCATGTGCCATAAAGGCGGTGTACTATATAAACCGTAAACACAAGGCGCTAATGAAACGCGTCATAGAAGACTTAAGTTCTTCTTGCGTACTGCATTAACGGATGATGCAGATGATTGGCCGTACCACCTTAAGTGGGTACAAACACAGATAAACGAGTGTGCTGATTCGGTTACAGGAACTACACCCACTCACTATTTTCATGGCAGATATAGTGAGCTACAAATCCCCTTTAACAAGGACAAACCTGATCACCGTGAGTTACCATGGTTTGAGAAGGTACAACGTATTTATAACGTTGTATATCCTTGCTTGCGAGAAATACGCAATATAGCCTTATTAAAAAGTCAAAAGCGTCGGAACACTACCAAAAAGAACAGATGAACGAGTGTGCTGAACCGGTTACAGGAAGTACACCCACTCACTATTTTCGTGGCAGATATAGTGAGTTACAAATCCCCTTTAACAAGGACAAACCTGATCACCGTGAGTTACCATGGTTAGAGAAGGTACAACGCATTTATAATGTTGTATATCCTTGCTTGCGAGAAATACGCAATATAGCCTTATTAAAAAGGCAAAAGCGTTGGAACACTACCAAAAAGATAGCAGAGTATCAGGTTGGAGACAGAGTTAACATCCGTCAACGTAATTCCGATGCTACTGTACTAACATCAAAATCGATAGGACCATACATAATCTCTGTAGCCGACACTAAAAGTAGAACCTATGAGGCTAATAAGCCCGACGGTTTTAGTGCTTTGAATATAGGCACTAGTCGGATTCCGACTACCGAGATTATACTCGCAAGAAGACATGACTCTAATGCCTCTCTTGATAAGACATTATATGGAGAACGGATATGGAAGGTTATACATTCTATCGTTCACGCTTTATAGACGGTACAATAGCTGAGTTGACTTCAGATGCTTTTGATAATCAAGACTATTTAAAAGCCTTTAATCAAAATGGCGTAAACGCCCGCATAAGTCACAAGCTGAAAAAGATAGCATGTTTCCATCGTCTGAAGGCACGGAAGTTAAAACTTACCCGCCTACAGTATTTATCCCGAGCTTAAAGGCTAACCCTTGA